CACTGGACAAAATTCATTTGCAATAATATCAGTTTATAATTTACATAGTTATAAACTAGCTCAGTTAAAGATACCAAAAACACAGACTGCTATAGAATCAGATAACTCAGAAGGGTATGCTAAATAACACCTGATATTCCATTGAAAAGACACCCAGTCATTTCTTTTTGGCCATTTCACAGTCTTTCACACTCTGCCTGACAGTTCTTTCCCCCTCCTCTCCTGTAATTATAATAATCTCAAAGATTATTCTTCATCACAAAAGAGGGCTGGTCTCATAAGATTTGGCCTAATTATTTACATTGGTGTGGTAAGAGTGTTGATTAACCATATAGACTTTCTTGGTTTGCTTTGCAAATAGAGAGCCATACAGTATAAACAACTATTAAGCCCACAAAATTAACTTCCGCCTGCAGGTTTTTGTAAGGAATCTTGGATTGGACTTTTCAAAGCCTCTATTATTTGCTATCCCAAGGCTAGGAAACCAAGCCTAAGAAACTCTGCTCCTTAGTTCACCTATAGTGTTTATAACCTTTTTGAATTCCTCAAGGTTTCCAACATTTGTTAGGTTCCTGGTCTAGTAGCTTCCTTACCACCTGTAAGGCCAGGACCCTGTAAACCAGGTACCAGGTCAGTTTTCCTGGGAGGGCTTTGTAGGCATTGGCTCCGTAAGTTCTTAAAGTCGCTAGTCATATCTGTTTCAGTGAGCATCATTCTCTGATACGACACTCCAGGTAAGGGCTTGCTTGCCTAATTATATCCCGTGGATAGATTCCAACTGAACCTGTGAAATAACTATATTGCCCTGAAAATTAAGGGGATTCAGTAATAGTTTGTGAATTCTGGGGCATCAGTGAGAATAGGATATAATTTTTAAATGTTTCAATTTAGCCTATGAAAGCAGAGTTTACTAAACTGTAGGTTAGAGATAGGTTAAAAAGTCAGAGAGGGCCAGCCCTGGTGGCCTAGTGGTTAAGTTCAGTGTACTCTGCTTCAGCAGTCCAGGTTTGATTCCCTGGCTTGGACCTACATCACCATTAGAGGCCATGCTGTGCTGGCAGCCCACATACTAAAAAATAGAGGAAGATTGGCATGGATGTGAGCTCAGGGTGAATCTTCCTCAGCAAAAAAAAAAAAAAAAAAGTAAAGAGGCAAGGCATCCTCATCTATCCAGAAAGTAGAACATTAGAACAACATCAGCCAAGCAAATAGCCACAATAAAACTTTCCTCTTCAGTTCATTGAGTTCTATGTAATTAATTCTTGTTCTGCTGGTTCTTGGTTTAGCAGTCTGCATTCATGAAGCCGTCTACATCCAGACCAAAAAAAGAAATCCCAGGAAATTCTGACTCCATCCACTAACAGCTTAACAATTATCTAAGTACTGTCAACTCAGTAGCCTTTGCCTAAGAGTCTATTCTTTGAAATATCAATATTTTAAAATACCTGGTACAACAGTCCTTTTCCACAAAACTCTGAGAGCGTCCTTTCTGGCCTGTACCTTTTATAGCAGAGCCTTCAGGCAAACATCAGAATAATACAAAAGTTGTGTGTAGATTATAGAGACTTAGTGGTTAATTTTTTATTCTGACAATATCAGAATGGAAGACAATACAGTTCTCTATTGGGCTACCCTACATAACTATTTCCTAAGAGTTTTGATCAGTATTTCCCCTGAAGGGAAAAACGTATTATAGACAATGAGAGCATTGGTAAATCTCCATGGTCTTCCCATGAAATAGACAATTTCAGAATACTTAGATTAGTCACATTTTACTGAGCATCTCTTCTGATCTGACAACTCTTCACATGCAACTCAACATAGTAACACATCAAACAAATGCATTTATTTCTAGCATCTCTCTTTTTGTAAGGCAAAGAAACAAATCTTTATGATTTTCCAGGACCCCTCTAGGAAATCTCAATGATAGTTTTAGGTGTAAAAAGTACCCTAACATTTTTATTTCTTCAAAATACTGGGTATAGTTTGGGAAGGCAAAACCAAAGAGTTGTTAGAGTAGTTTTAGGTACTTGATTAAGGTAAGAGTACAGGTGGTCCAAAAATAATACTTGCTTATCTATATAATCAAAGTAAGAATAACACACATTTGAAAATAAATAAAGCAAGTAACACAATTTTCAGGAATTTAGCTCTTTTCACATGTGAGGGCCCTGGTCCTTTTATTTTTTTCCTTAAATAATCAAGTCAACATAAAGCTCTGAAAATTCTGGTGAGATACAGAATCTCTGCTAGTTAGGCAGATTCCATAGAAGGTAAAGAATATCCTTTGCATTGTAGTCAAAGGCATTAATCAGTAAACCAAGGAAACAAACCATCAAAATTGAGGGAACTATGCCAGAATTTTAATGCATTTTTTTTCCAGATTTGAATATTATAAACCAAAGCAAATAAAATTCACTTCCCAAGTTTTGGCCTTCATTTTTCTCTCTCATATTTTGGAACAAATTTGTACTTTACTGGAGAATTGCCTTTTCTCTCAAAAGTCTACAATGGAGTTTTCCAGAGGCTGCATGATGAGTGATAACATAACAAATGCAGAGAGAGATGAGTATCTGGCTCTCTGCTGTTAAGCCAGACATTAGAAAGACTTGCAAAAATGTTAAACAATGCTATTTTTGTCATCAAGATTTTTCATTTTGGGAAAGAGTTATTTTTCACAAAATATGTTATTTATGTTAAAATGGAATGGATCCATCATTGCTATTTTCAAATGAATCAGTACTTTTAAAATTTCTCAGTTTTGATTTCAAATATGACAAATATTGATGATTATCACTCATTTAAACCAAAGCTCTTTGGTGTCCTCCAATAAGTTTTAAGAGTGTAAAGTGGTCCTGAGACCATAAAGTTTGAGAACCACTGCTTTATTTCTTGTTGTATTTCTTTTTCATTATTGCACCTGGCATAGTCTCAACCACTCATTTTAATTATAATAGTTAACCAAAGTAACTAGCTTATATTTCATAGAGAAAATTGGGAGGGAGGATGTGGATAATTCAGAATTGTCACATACAAACATTTGAGCAGACTGCAAAGCTCATGAACACATATAACACAAATTTGTACTGCAACATACATCACTTCTGTATCTCCTTGAAGTGGCAAAAATGAAGCCGTTCATTGACAAGACACTAAGGTATAGCCTCTCTGTAGCATATAAAAATAGGAAGCAAACATATATACACTTAATGCTATTCTTTGTAATCAAAGTTTCAGTATTTTAACTTAGGAATTATCTAGATATCCAATGATTATCTGTCGATTAGCACAACTTAATATTAGTCTGTTTTAAGTTACCTAAAGATCTTAGGAATAATCTTTAAGTTTATTTGCTACAAAACATAATTGCTGTTTATATAAAGTTTATCAGAACAATTATTCAATTTATTGGAACATAAATTTATATTTTTCATAATATTAAACATTATATAGGCATAATATTAGCTTATTGGGGCTGGCCTCGTGGCGCAGCAGTTAAGTGCGCATGTTCTGCTTCAGCGGCCCGGGGTTCGCTGGTTCGAATCCGGGTGTGGACATGGCACTGAATGGCACCCCATGCTGTGGTAGGCATCCCGCATATAGAGTAGAGGAAGATGGGCATGGATGTTGGCTTAGGGCCAGTCTTCCTCAGGAAAAAAATATATATATATATATTAGCTTATTGACCAGTAATCCTATATAAATTTAGGAGAAATCGACCCACATAAAATAAAACATACGCTTGCATTACACATAACACTGACAAATCAGAAAGACAGCTGTGTTTTAAAACATATCATACTAGTCTCATTTGCCAAAGAGTTACCTTAATTTTGTGAACTTGGATTCTTAAGATGTTACTGAGTTAGATAGCATTTTGTGTAAAATAATTTTTATTTTTAAGTTTAGTAAGTTTAAAGTTTTAGAGGTTCAATTTCCTTAGTTTCTGTGAATTTTAGGAATATTTAATTTATATAAGCACTTTATCTTTACAAGTCAAACAGAAGCAGTTCTTTTTATTGATACTTCTGGAAATAGGAAAGCATTCCATATCTAAGAGGTAGACACAGGCACATGGAGCTTCATAGCTTCACTTTTACAACTTCAGCCACAGGTCAAAAGTAAACACAAAAACCACCAGTCCAGATTTCAAAGAGCTATTCTCCTTCCCATTGGGCACAGAATGCTTAATTGATTTGAGCTCAAATTAGAAAAATATTCAAACACAAACGACCAAGAAACCAGATTCCCTGTTCCCTCTTACTTAGTGGAGAGTAGATCTCACTAATCTTGTAAGTGATCACCAAATTGTCAGACTGTAAACCTGAATCCTCCATCATGGCTGCCACCAAGAGGGACTAACTTAGCAGCCACGCATGAACTGGAAAGAAAAGTAAAACACAATCAGTAGAGAAAGATTATTAAAACTAGAGAAATGGAGAGTCAGTAAAACTCAAGTCTGTTGTTGCTTTGGATTCACCCTGGGAAGCCAAGAAATGGCATGCCTGTGCCTAAGCCGCCATGATATGGTTCACACCTCAGGCAGCACAGTTTACCTGGCTCTGTCAGGTAAATCCATTGGGCATCTCGATGGATGACCTCCAAAACTCCTAAAGGATACTTTTTTTAAAAGGTAGAATCATGACCCTTGAACAATTACAACATGAAGATGTGGCACAGACTTCATTTAATTAATCAGTTAAGGAAGGAACCAGTAAGATATTACAACCAGTTCAACACTCAGCTTTTTTCCTTAAGTGTTGGTAATGAACAAACACTGCCTCTCCCTGTGGCCTCAGCATCTTCGATGAGCATTTTGGCTTATTTTAAATCTTGAGTCCTCTCCCAAGGGTTAGCATGTTGACAGTTCCATCCGTTTTCTGAGATCTGCACTTGGAGCGCAAGGGTGAGTGTGTGTGTTGACTGACTGCTGGGCTTCCTGCCCTCAGGGCTTTCGCTTGCTCTCCTGAACTGTCACTAACTCTTGCTTCCTTTTGCAGTGACAAAGTCCAGGCCCTCTCCTATGCACAGCACACACGGCAGCTCATCTCCTGTGGTGGTGATGGTGGGATTGTCGTCTGGAACATGGACGTGGAGAGGCAGGAGGTAGGGGTCACAGCAGGCTGGTGCCTCGCCCTCCACGGCCACTGGGCTGGGCTCTGCAGCTCTGGCTATGCTGAAAAACCGCTCAGCCATCCCTTCTGCTCATTTCTCATTTCTTTTATGATTAAACCATGAAATAAGACATGTTTGTTGGAGAAAAAAAATTCTACTATAAAAGGAGCTCTCATTTTTTTTTTACCCCTCACAAATTGGCATGTAACATTCATGTAATGGAGATTTCATAAGAATTTCAACTGAGACTAAGCTATGTAGGCTTAAAATCTGTTACACAATTCACAGCAAAAGTTCAGGTGAGAAAAAGGAACCATCTATTTTCAGGCAATTAGCCTTCGGGATAAAGTGCCCACGAAAACAGAAAACTCGTGTGCTTTATGTTATTGAGGGAAATGGTGGCTTGTCTACGAGAAATGGTATTTGATGAAGTAAGAATCTTTAGTTTGGTATTAATAGAAATATTAGAAATAATTATTATTGTGCTTCTTTATCAGTCATGTCCTTAACAGTTCTCCAGATATAAATATATACTTTGTCATTTTTAGGCATATATTTAAGTTTTATCATAATATTCTTTTTTTATGAGTTTTCCTTTTCGCCTTTGAGCATTTAACTGATGCGTTTACTGAATCATCCCCTTTGACAAGTACTTTGAAGTTAACTATTTTCTCATCTCCCTAGAATTATACTGGATAAACTTTCCCTTTGACAGTGTATATTCTTCTAATTTATTTCCTTGCAGGATGCAAAAATTAGATAGAACAGCAACACTTTAAAAAGACAAAAGCAATTTCCCAACTTCTTTCCATGCCCTCACCCAATCTCATTTCAAGAGAGTAGTTGCATTACCCACAATGTAATGCCTTTCAAATGCCAGTAATTAAATGCTTAAGAAGATTAAAGCTTGATTTGCTCAAACCATAAATCCACAGGAGTTCTATTAGTAACTAATTAAAACGATCATTACTGTTAGGAAGTGGGGAATTGTAGAATATTGCTTTTGAAAGTACCACTTGGCCCCATCAGTGTGAAGGCAGGGAAATCAGTACAATATGTACTAGCCTTGCTAGCCAGGCTCCCCGGGTCACTGGTGATTCTGCATGGTAGCCTGCTTTGGATGAGGGACGCCACACCTGGTCTGTCTTGGCTTTTGCCCAGGCCTAACTGACCAGACCAGGGGAGAGCGAACTGCTGGGCTCTTTTCCATCACTGCGTGCTCCCTCCACCCTTGATGGACAGAGACCCGAAGAAGGATAAAGATGTGGTTTCCGAAGACAAAACCAGGCGGTTGGTGGACAGTCCTTTGTGCCGTCTTGCTTAAAAATTATGCCTTTTGACGTGCAGATATATGGGGTTTCGGTACTTATTGACTATTTTAAATCTTCTTTTTGAGTGAATCAGAGCTCTCAGTGAGCAGTGGAGGAGGTTCCATCCATTTTTTGCCAGTCATATTTTATAAACATATACCCCTGAGAGGTATCTGTGGAGCTCCACTCTGGTTATGGCACGTGCCATGCAGTGCTCACCTCAGGAGGTCTGGGACGTGTAATGAAGCAGTCCCTGCCATGAAGGCTGGCAGACTTTCTGGAAGAAAAGACATGTGACAGAAAACTTCAGAAAACTGTTACAGTTGGTGTAGGAAAGAGCATTAGTTCTGGGCATTTAGGAAGGAGTGTTATCATTGTCGGCTAACGTTCTCAGCGAAGGTTTTGTAGAAGGACATAGTGCTCAAAGATTGATGGGGCCTGGACGTGCTCTGAGCAGGACAAGAAACACCAGGAGTAAAGACGAGGTGGACACGAGAGGTCGCAGGCAGAGGGTTAGTGCTCATGAGCAGCAGCAGCAGACAGAAGCACTTGGCTGGCAGCCGAGGGCGCGGGGCAGGTGATGAGAACCTCAAGTGTCTGAACGAAGATGGGATTGACATCCCGTAAACGTGTTAAACGTGTTTGTACAGTTAATAAAATCCATTCTTTCAAACTTATCATGTTTTTAAAGTATATATAATACATATTCTTTGTAGAAAAGTTACAAAATGCTTGTTAACAAATAGAAAACATGTCAATTACTCATAATACCACCTCCCAGAAATATCACCCTTAACATGTTGGCAAAGATCCTCCGTATATTTTCTCTGCATATACACATGTGTAAGATTTTTTTGACAAAAAATGGAATCATACCACACATGCTGATGTATTTTTTCCCCATTCCTGATCCTTACTCCCAATTTCCTCTTCATAGGCACCCACTATGATACATTTGATATATGTCCTAAACCTGCATGCTGCCTTGTAAAAGATGTAGTGATGTTTCTGTGTGTGTGAGTGTGAAAGTTTTTTGTAAATCTTGCTGATTTTCCTGCATTATAAATGTTCTGAAAAATGACAAAAGTTGTCTTAGCTAAAAACTTTGTGTTATTTTATTAAATCTGTCTTTAAAGTGATTAGGGCATAAAACAAAGCAAATGAAGGCTTATTTCTTTTCTTTAGTTTTAATAAAATAAGTAGACCAAGAATCAGAACTCTAAAATGTCACTGTTATGGGGGTCTTTTTGAGACAATGTGTAGCTTTAGGTTCATTTCTCCTCGAAGGTGGGAGAACAGGCTAAATCCCCAGATCCGCTCCGTAACAGGCATTCCCCGAAAGGATTACCTCAATAGAAAAAGGCCTTCCCGAGCCTTGACTGTGCCGCTGTCGGCTCTGAATCTCAGAGAGGGGGCAGGCTCTCATTTACCGCATTTCTCTGACTTGTTTGATCTCAGGCCTCTTTTACAATGTGTCCTATGAGTCAGATTGGAATTCACTTTTGGGAAACCCTGGGTATATTTTTTTAGGTTCCTTGGGTTCGATGATATGTGGAAAGAGATCAGTTCTCTGCACAGATGGTGAATTTACAGAGTTGAACGTGGAACTCTAGAAGCAAATGTAGGGCCACTATATGCATAATCTGTGAAGATTTGCTAAAGAGTACTTTATGGTTAACACATCTTTTAAACCTGTTTGACCCAGTTTAGAATACTCATGATAGGGCTGGGAAATCATGAACAAAGCCAGAATATTGTGTGACCCATGAGGCAAGGAGCAGAGCCTCAAGCTCTGCTGGGCCTGCCAGGAGTGGACAGTGGACAAGTGCTTCCCTGAGTGCCCGCTGTGGTCAGGTTGCATCCCTCTGACACGGGTAGCTGTGTGTATGTGTGGTCTGCAGTTATATATAATTGTACAAGACCAGAGCGAATATAATTCCATACAATCAGAGAATACGAGATGAAGTCCTGAATCCTCAACATTGCTGGCAAGACTGTGTGATATGGCCCCAGCTGTCCCTGGATGCCCCGGACACCCCTGGACCCCAGCCTAGGTCACACCATTGTCATGGTGCTGTGTGCTTATCCTTCTCAGGCCTTTGCACTTCTACTTATTGAAATAATCATTACTCGTAATATTTCATGTTTAGTCTTCCCTAATAAATTGTAAGCTCCATAAAGGTAGAAGTTCTTTTTATTCACAGCTACATCCCCAGGGCCTGACGCATGACAGGCATTCAGTAAATATTTTTTAAATGATTGAGAAATCACACCTCCGTTTTTAAAAAACGCATCCTGATTCTGTAAGTTTCATCCGTGTCGGTGGCTCCATTGTCCTCACTGCTTCTCACTGTGACCTGTTGTGTGCTTTGTTTGACAAGACCCCTGAATGGTTGGACAGTGATTCCTGCCAAAAGTGTGATCAGCCGTTCTTCTGGAACTTCAAGCAAATGTGGGACAGTAAGAAAATTGGCCTAAGACAGGTAGGTGGTATGGCTGTTTCATCAAAATGAAACAGTGTGGAAATAACTTCTCCTAATGATCTTAGAAGAAGGCGCACCCCTGGGCGGGAGTTGTGGTGCGATAAATTATTATCATGGAGTCACTTTGTGACTGTACATTAACTTGTTCTCTTTATCTACTGTAGCTCATTTGTACTGGATTCAGTTTTGTAGTGACTTGTTCCCAGTAAGAAGTTAAGGGATATGATATTAGAATTCCAGTGGCAGCTGTGGAAATACACCTTAAAATTAGAGGGGTCATGCTTAGCTCATACTGATACCAAACCATGAAATTATAGAAGTGGTATTTATTTCTTCTTAGTAATTTCACTTTCCCTCTTTTCATCTTAGTTTTAGTTATTTAGATCTACTTATAATAGAGCATTTTCAGTCTGATTCCATGGTTGGATTTGATCCTCCTCAAGGAAATCAAATGTTAGTCACTTAGCTTGAGTGTGACCAAAGTGTAGACAATGGATTGAATCAGGTTTCGTCCATGTTCATCCAACAGCATAATCTCTGGAGATGGCACTTCTTCAGTACACGTGGCTTAAGATAACCTGACCCCTGGGTGGTTCCTCTAGAGTTCATACTGATGATAATTGGAAAGGTCCAAGAAGGGGAAAAGGCAGGCAGTGGGGGGTGGGTGGTACAGTGAGATGTGTTTCCCAGCAGCCCTCATTCTGAATAAAGAGCCCAAAAGAGAGCACACCTGGTGTGTTCCTTCATTTTCTGGGGCACGCTTGTTTAGCATCCTCGCCTGAATGCTGTTGATCACAGCTGAGCCTACCTGGAGAGGCAGAGTTGCAGAAGCGGCAGCAAGTGTCTGTTTCCTCTCCCTGCAGCACCATTGCCGCAAGTGCGGGAAGGCTGTGTGCGGCAAGTGCAGCTCCAAGCGCTCCTCCATCCCTCTGATGGGCTTTGAGTTTGAAGTGAGAGTCTGCGACAGCTGCCACGAGGCCATCACAGATGAAGAGTAAGTTCCAGCAGTCTGCAGAATTGTCAGGGTTAAGGAGAGGATGTGATCTGAGAGCTGCACCTAGCACTGCAGCCATGACTAAGAGTGTCCTGGTGCCTGCTGGCTTAGAATACAGACCATGGCAAGTGGGCAAGGCCCTCCTTTCCACCAAGAGATTGTTCTCTTGTGAGACAGGAGAAGAGGAAGGATGCGCAAAGAATTCATCTGTGCTCTTCTCAATCCCAGGGGCGTGTGTATTGCAAATGGATGTTCTTCGAGCATACCCTTCTGTCTGCTCATTTCCTTGAGTTGCCCAAGAGTGCAGGAACCAGGGTTCACTTCTGGCCCAAGCTGGTATCTTAGTAGAAGCTGAACAAGCCCATGGGCTCCACGGGTTTCATTTTCCAGGAAGAGCTAAGCCACTTTACCTGAGAGGCAAATACTACCAGTTGCCCAGCTACTCAGTCTTGCTGGTCGGTCTTGCCCAGTAACCCAGGACCTTAGGTTACTGCGCCTCAGTGTGCTTGCAGGGGTGGGACAAATCTGTGTTGTTTGTTTAATGTCTCCTCTTTGAAAACTGCCCCAGGTGTGAACAGAATGCTCTGCAACTAGTTTCCCTTTCAGTGAATTACAGCAGGCTCTCACAGGAGACTTCTCTGCCCGTTCCTCCCTCCCCAGCCTACCCCCCGCACCTTGTATACAGTAAAATCATTTTAAGTACCAGGTGGTTGTCTTAAAAGCTGAATGTAAATAGAAACATTTAAAATGCACCAGAGGCAGTCAGCATTTAAAAGAAATTCTTGGAAAATAAACCAAAGCATTCTCTTACAGATAACCCTAATTTATGTGTTTTTTCGTTTTTATTTATCCATATCAAAAAAAGTTAGGATGCCCTTCATAAGGAAGCATTTATGTTCATTGATTATTTTCCACTCATTATACGTGGTGAAATTAGTAAGAGCGTTCTTTTCATTAAATTAGAGAGCTGCAGGAGACTTTGGGGATAGTCTAGTTTAATTCGTCATTTTATAAAGACACAGACCCAGGGAGTTTAAGCGACTGCAAACTTTAAACCCAAATCTTTAATTCTAAAGATTTTAAAGTGATCATTTGTAGTATACAAAGATCTCCTCTTAAGATTTAACTAGAGATAAAAAGAGGAAAACAACTGGCTTCAGAGTGCACTGCAGAGGAGTGGGAACCCTTGAAACATGATTAGAGAACAGCTGTCCCCTTCCCACATCCCTGCCTCTTCTCCGCGGAAGTATTTGCATTGTCTCTAGAGCACCTAGGCAGTCGACAAGTCTTCTTACTAAAAAAATGCGTAGGTTAAAAAATACAAAACAAATAACAATGTTTGTTTATATGTTGTTTTGCTTGTTAAAGTGTTAGAATACACAGAAAAACTAAGCCTGCAGTTATACCAGTGAGAAGAGGAAAAAGAAGGGCTCGCCCTTCGATTAGAATGGTAGTGCCTTAGACATTTTAACAAGCATGCTATTTTTCTTTTCTAGTTAAATAGGGAAAGGGAAACCATTTTACTGGCAAGTCCTTCTGAGATTAAACGTGGCGAAAGCACTGTGGATTTTTTTTTTTTTTTCAAGATTTGTCAAAAGCAGAGGTAGAGATTTTCACAGAGTCTATCATAGCAGCAAATTCTCTAGAAGGACTTTTGGAAATTTCATCATCTCCTTCCCATTTTTGAGAATATAAGAATGCTTTTACATTTTTTTAAAAATCAGAACAGGTCACCAGGGCGTAAAGGTAGCTCTGAGGAGCATTTCTAACAGTGAACAGTTTTAGCCATTTGGGTAAAACTTAGAGCGTAATGTCACCCTAGGTCTCCTTCATTTATCTGTCACGACTTTTCACTCTTGGCATCTTTCTTTATTCCTTCCAGACGTGCGCCCACAGCTACCTTCCATGACAGTAAGCATAACATTGTGCATGTGCATTTTGATGCAACCAGAGGATGGTTACTGACTTCTGGAACTGACAAGGTTATTAAGGTAGGAGGCCATCCTATTGTAGAAGCTTTCCATCTTTGGCCCTATGTAAATATACAGGAGCACCAAGGCAATGTGAGGGCTGCTCAAAAGGTTACCCTTAGCAGTGAGCATTTTTGAGAACCCATAACATGCGAGGCCCCATGCCAGACACTGGCTGTACACGCCAGAATAAGACATGGCTCTTGGCCTGCAAGGAATGGCTAGTCTGCTGGGGGGGATGTACTCTTAAAAAGACAGTTAATAATACATCACATATTCAGCAGCCAAAAGAGCAGTACAGACAAGAATTACTTTAAGCGTTCAGGAGCGGGAGATGGTGCTGCTGGAGATGGCTTCATGAAGGAGATGGGATTTGAGCTGAGCACTGAATGAAAAGCAGAACTGGAATAAGCCAGCAAGTCATAAACAAGATCTTTTCCCAGTGAGATCAATTAATCCAGAAGCGTTCCTTCTGGGCCTCTGCTAGGACTGTGGTAGGCCACATGGATTCAGTGCCACAGCAGAGGCCCGGGACAGAAGGGGCCACACCTGCGTCATTCCTGAGAAAGACGGAGGCACAGGCTCACCCAGCACGCTGAGCTCTACTTCCCAGGCCTGTGCTGGTCCATTGGGGGAGGCAGCAGCGGGATGAGGTGGTTAAAATAACCCCCTTTGGAAGCTACCAGGCCTCTGTGACTTTGAGCAAGTTTAAAGTGAACTCTGGGAACGTCAGTTCCTTTGCTTCTGAGAATGAGACATCTTGTGGAACTGCTTGGAAGACTAAATGAGATATGGAAAGGACACAGCACATCACTGGGGCCCATTTCGTGCCTAATATTTGTTAGTTCCCTTCCTCTTAAAGGAATATAATCTGCCTTTATTCTCCATTTGCTGGATTAAATTCCCAGCTGCCGTTTCGTGTTTTTGACATTTATCTTGAACGTTTTGATGGGAAAATTCTATTTCATAGATTTAGAAATCATCTCAGTATTTAGTTGCCTGCTACGTTAAAGAGTTCACTTGAATTTAATTCTAAGGATTGTTTATCCTCAACACAGTTTCATTTCAGTTCATCATTTATCCTCTTTTTCTGTTCACAGTTGTGGGATATGACCCCAGTGGTGTCTTGATGACGCTCTCAGGCATCAGAAAGAGAGTATTTACTCAAGAAACGGTTGTTCTAATCCCAATCCTTACTGGAGCTGTAAAGCAGACGTGTGAGAAGTAAGAGAGAAACTAGAACCGGGCAGAGTCGGTGTATTTCCTGCACACACGGTGGTGAGCTAGTGAGTGAACACTGGCGAGGGGACTCTTTCAACTTGTTCATACAATATCAAAGAAGATATTTTTTTAACAAATGGTTTATACAGTCTGGCTGTGCTACATTGTTTTGAGTATACTGAAAGCTCTGTGTGGGGTGTTTAATTTTTATATTTTTCAACACTTCATTTTAGTTGTTGCTTTGCGTGTGGGAGAAATGTTCGGGGTATTTGGGGTCATTATAAAGTAGTTTCCATGTTCTCTTCACTTCGGCGCATATTATGTGGTCAGCATCTTTTTCTTCTCTATGTGTCTACCCCCACGTTCCTCTGCTGCTAACCAGAGTGTATGTATTTACACTGTTTATTCGCAGTGTTTCTTTCGCAGTGCTTTCATAGAAATCCTCTTCAGTTGAGAGATGTGGAAAACCATAGATTTACCAACTGACTTCCTGAATCACCTGAAGAATGCTCCATTCGTAATGTCTAACTCATTCATGCTCTCATTGAGCAGAAATGACCTTGTGTTTCTGCCTCAGTTTTCTTTTTCGCATGTTAAAAAAATGTCGTGAGAGCTGCTGCCAACCATTGTCATCACAGGAGTAGATTATTATAACTCAGAGCTTCAGCTGTCAGTGCCTGGATCATTTCTAATTCACTTGGAGCCTTCTGAGTCTTTTATGTTTTAATTTTATTGACACATCTCTCCCTCGCTCAGAATATTAAAACAAAACAAAACGAAACACCAAAACTCTGTGTCCTTCCAAAAGAAATGTCTTCAGGATGTGTTTTTCCATGTGGTGTCACCTCTGAACTTGAACATGTTCCTTACTGCGAGATTGTATCCTGCTCTACTCCTCGCCATCTGTATTTTCTTCCCCTTTAAAAACTAGATATTTAAAGATTTTTATCTTAATGTATTTTATCAGAACACTTTGCACACTTTCATACTAAGCTGTGTGATCTGAGACATAAAAGGTACTGAATCCTACAGCTCATGCTGCGTTCCTGTTGGGAATGTAAAAAAAGGGCTTTAGAAAATGAACCTGAGGAACCTGAATTTTAAGGGAATTCAGTCAAACTTGATAAAGCGGAATATTCTTGTGTGTAAATGACTCAACTCGGGATATTGAAGTCCTTTTAAAAAAATCTTATTTTCACCTGTAAAAATAGAGCTTAAATTAGCAGCAGGCATGTGCTGCGTGCCTGCCCCATCCTAAGCACTTTACATGTCCCAGCTCATTCAACCCTCACCTGTTGGGAGCACTGGGGGATCACTGAGTCTCTTGGGGATCTCCAGGTTAAATAAAGCCTTGCAGATAAACAGGCCAATTACTTGCCCTTCTTTCTCCAAGCCCTACCTCCTCAGTGTCTTATTTGACAGTTTTTTGTGGTAGTATTTGAAATCCTCCCTATTTTTTTTCTCTTTTCCTGGAAAGCAGTTTTTTCCCCTCGTGATGATTAATTATTTTTCTTTCTAACTGGGAGAAGTACTACCCACCATACTTGGTTAGCACCCCTAACGCCGACCAAGTCTGCCTCCTGGGGATGGGGCTTCCCAGAGATGCTTCTGCTGCTGCAGCTTTGGGAAGCAGGACCAGCAGGTGTGCCCCCTGCTGCCAAGGTACATGACAGCCATCCCCTGAGAGATCAGACCAGATCAGCCCCTGTGACCGTACTCTAAGGTTGCGTGTGTGCATGCACACACACACAGAAGCAATTACCACGTGTCCCTTCCCCGCCCCTTCCGCACTGCCCTTGCTTGCCATCAGTCGAAGCTATTAAAACTAATCTAAGTCTGTTCTGCATGATTGCTCTGTGAGAGAGCTTTAAAAAGGGAATTAAAATACTCATATATCTATTTTGCAGTTTACTACTAGAACCTGGAGCCACTTACTGAGTTGTACATAGTAGAGAGCTATGTGTTGGAAATGAGTAATAGAAATGAATCGCTCTGTTTTCCCTTCCTGAACTTTGGCGCACAGCCTGTACACAGACAGGGAAACACAGTGTCAGGGAGGCAGTAGATGAGGTGCCCAGCCGCCTGACGTGGGTCTGGGTTGGGTCTAGGTGAGCTCAGACCCCATTGGGGAAACTGATTGTCCCCACTGGATCACCTGTCTACACCGTGATTGCTCTGGTCTGGGACCCTGCACTTCTCTCCAGCCATCTCCCTCCCACCATAGCTCCCCAGGCCACAGAGCCACTTAGAGGTTGAAACCACTTGACACCTCATTGGTGATGAGAGTCATGATCAAAAAACCACAGATGTGTCAAGGTATCCATCACGCTGCCCTTATCTTTCTCCTCATCTGTGGGAGTGCTTGAATTTGGAGAGAAGCGCTAAGCAAGCCAACTGTGTGTTTATAATACTGTGAATTCTTGAGTTTTACATTGAGTATCTCCACCATTTTTCTGACTCAGAGAGAGATATGTGCTGATGTTGGAATTGCACTTTACATAAATTTTGCTCTATTACTTCAACATACAGCAGCTCTGGCAAGTGATGCCTAACGTGGCTACATTGGGAAAGCGGCAAGACTGCACAGACCGCACACGTGGTTGTCCTTTATTTGGTAGGATAAGACCAATCGCATGCTCTCAGTTTCTCCAAAGAAATGATATTGCTGCAACTTTAAACTGCCTGGATGTGTCTCCACAGTAGCAAAAGTGGTTTTAGATAAAATACTTGGAATCGTGTGTCTTTTTATATGAGGTCAATCAACCATGATGTATTTCTCATTTGATTGTTTGAATTGTTCAAAGAATCATAAAATCACAAAACTGGAAGGGATCTTCAGAGATGTAGGATGTTCCAAGCACAAAACACTTTAGTCATGCCAGGCAGTTAGATATAGCTGAGGTGTAAACAAGAGAATCTAAAAGAAGAATTTTCAAGGAACAGTTGTTTTTGAACATTAGCTGGCAATGGCATGAGTGGGAGGAGAGACTTGCACTGCCTTGAGACAGGGAGCTCTCAGGAACCAGGTCTGCTCCTCTTATCATAAGCGAATTTGACACTTCTTTTGGCCGCAGCCCTGTAGTTAGGAGTGTGTGGATACTATGCAATGAGTCAATTATTGCAGGTCTTCCTCAGCATTAACTCGTTCTTGTGGTCTTCCCCAGAGACCATCCCAGTGGCAACATTTAAGTGGAAATCCAGGGGCACTGAATGCACCCTACCCTGTTGTGTGAAGGCTGGCCTGGAGTGAGTCTCTGCGCCTGCAGCATTTGCCCTTCTTAGGAACATCACCTTCTCATGTTTTGAGATTCACTTTTTAAAAGTATAATTTATTTTTGCTTAAAAATCAATTTTTAAACCTGAATTTTGACTTCTAAGCAAAGGGAAAGCTCTAAACTATGTATCAAAGTTACTGGACATAAGTATTCATCAAATGAGATTCCTTTGGTTTTGCTTTGTCGTAGTAGTTTAATTGTATGTAAGTGACCTTGTCCACCAAGATTTATATTTTAAAGTCAAGCAAGAATTTTGTCAAAACATTCTTCTTTTTCTCTCCTTTAAAATAATGTTAACTTAAATTTTTCCTGATGTGGAAGTGGATATCCAGCAACCTGACTGAAAAACACAGAAATTAAGTCCATTTTGAACACTGAGTTTCCTAGTTGATCCTTGAGATTCTAGTCCAGTTCAACCATTTGTTGAGTGCCCACCATCTACCAGGCTTTGAACTAGGCCCTGGGATGACGAGGTCCCTTCCCTGGTATGGGCAGAGGGCATGCAGAGATCATTTCAGTATCACGTGGTAAATTCAGTGATGGAGGTATGCGTGCGGTCCCGCATGGGTGGGGCCAGAGGGGTTTCATAGAGGCAAGGACTTCTGAGCTGCATTGGAGTGAGTCAAGTAAGGGCGTGATTTTCCAGGCTGCAGAAACAGCATAAATAAAGGCCCAAGATCTAGCATCAGCCTGGTGCTCAGGGACCACAAGTGGTCTGGAGTTGCCAGAGAATATCAAGCACTCAGCTGCAGTCCTGGAGCCTGAGCTCTTGTCACTGTGACGCTCGGATGCTCATGACCACGGAGAGGGCGGCAGCACACGGTCTGCCGTGACAGGTCCACTCAGAGGCTCATTAGTTTGAGAGTCATGTTTACCTACAGCTGAGGCTAGTATCAGTTTCTTTTTCTTTGGAAGTACCTGGAATTGTTATCTTAAAATGACCCATGGTAACTAACTTTAAAACTTTCTGGGTGCATAGCCCCTCACTCGAGGCCATGAGGTAGAGCTAGCGATCACTGCATGCACACACTTGGCCTGGAAGAACTTACATAATAATTCCACAATTACACAGGTGAGCCAGGCTTAAGGCCTTGACCTGTGGCAGGGGAAGATTGTTCTGGACAACTGTGGCCTTACACTAATAAGCAGCAGCAGCCTTTTGGTACATAAGCAGGCAGCTGCTGCCCTCCATTTCTCTCTCGGCCTTAAATCGTCCTTTCAAGTAATGGGTCATTTCAGTACCAAGTGGTAAATGTGATAAATCCTCATCACAGTGGCACTCGCCTAGTAGGTGGAAACATTTTTCTCCATTCGGTGTCAGTAAAAAGGCTCCGGCAGCCACTGCCTCAGAGACCTGGCTCTGCCAAGGCAGGGACATCCCACCATCCCCCCTCAGGGCTTGGGCTTTCTGGTTCTTGCTATTCCATCCATTTGCCTTTGTCTTTCACTATTCAAGTATCATATATCCATAACTTAATTGAGGAACATCCATGTTTATTTTTAAACTTTAGCTCAACTTTATAACCAAGAACTATATACATACCAACCCTCTGGGTTTTTAGTTTGTATTTTTGCCTTTAAACGTTATCATTTCCACCAAGAGGCCTAACACATGAAAGCAGTGTCTAAAAATTAGATCTGTCCGAAATTGGAGTGGGATTCCTCCTCTGTGTTTCCCATACCAGGCAGTGTTTGAACACACAGCAGAAAGCCCCTCGTCAGAGATGTGGGAAGGAGGTGACAGCTTGAATAAGGGTTGACTTCGATGATTGTTCTTAAGATCCCTTCCGATCCTGTGATCCTGTGATTCCATGAATGTTGTTTATTATTGGACTGGCCTAAACCATTACCAGCGAGCGACCCACATGTGGCTGACTTCCTGGGATACATGAGAGCATGTCGCAATGCCTTTGTCTTCTGTCATATCTAGTAAGTTTCTTTCTGTATTTTTCCATCTAAAGCCTAGTAGGTTTGAAAAAGATGGTGAACGTGGAAGTTAATCATGGTACCATCTCTTTAAAAATAGATACCTCAAAATGTTCACCTTTGTGAGTCAAAACATGTATCTGACTTTCTTGGGAGAGAAAGTGTCAGAGAACTGCAGGATGGTTTAAACGTTAGATATAGAATCTGACCTTGATATTTATGATTCTTTCCTCCTTTTTTTTTTCCTTGGTTCTCTGAGAAATATGAGAGAGTGAACTATAACACAAAAAGGGAAAATGGTTTGAAAAAAGTATTTCACTTATATACACTTTTTTCCCCATTTAAATGGATGTCAGCCTTATATCAGTAGCATATGCCCATTTGAAGTAGGGACCAAAACACTTGTGTCACTGGTAACCATTGTACTCTTGTATATTTGTGTTTTACGCCATTTGCCTTGCTTTTTAAATAACTTTTTTTCAATGTACTGTCATTTTCAAAAGAAAATCTTATATGAAAAGTACAAAAACTGTTATTAACTGGACAACAGGGAAGGTGCTAGCCCCACGTTCGTGCCTGCCTACCACCTTATCCATAACCAGGGACATGGACTCTTCCATGCTGCACGCCATCCGTCGGCAGCCACATCGGAGCCTGGCTGCAGCGGGCATGTTACTTTATCAATATCTTTTTCTTTCTTTTTGAAATGAGATTCCCCAAGGGGTCAGGCTGAGAATGTAATAAGCCCGAAGCTGGAACAGACTTCTCAGATGTGGTTCTAGCTGGATCCTCCCGGCAGTGCCATGCTCTCTGCCACTGCGGTCCACAACCAGACCGAGCAGTCTGGATATTGACTTCCTGAATGTGACTAGGTGGGATTGAGCAAGAATTTCTTACAATGTTAAAATGTCTGTATCCAGTTCTACCCTCAAATGCTGCTGAATGTTGTGAATGTTTTTAAACTCTGCTCACTTTCCCACTGAGCTTCCCTCTAACCGAAACCGTATGTAGCCATTACCAGTGTAAGACTCTCAATGCAAAGCTGCCTCCATGGTTTAAAATAAATCTCTGTGGAAACCTTCCTGCACCTGTGGTCCCATCATTGTTGTTGTTGAGCTGTAACATGTAACCACATACACCCCAACAGCCCTGCTTTGGGGTTAACTGGGAGGGGAGGGGAGTCTCTGGGCCACTCCTGCACCTGGCTGTCTAGACCCCAAGGAAAGCTACACTCTGGAGACAAAGGTGAGCCACCGTTCATCACACACTCAAAGTGCAGCAAGTGGGCTCTGGCCCTGTGGTCCTTTTTATTTTCTTGATCTTTCACAGAAGTCTGCTTTAACTGTGATTAGTAAACTTTCCAAGCGAGGAGAAAGAGGACTTCAGGGCAAATACAGCCAGGAAAAGCCTCTCTAAACACCCATGAGGCCCATTTTGTGGATAAGAAAACAGGCAGGGAGAAATCAATAGCCTGCACAATGTGGAACAGCCAGTGAGTGGCGTAGTGGGTCACCCTTCACGTCGAGGCCCCTATCTCTGGTGGGGCCCCTCCCTCATAGCCCACGTGTGCCAGCCTCACCCACACCTAGCACTCCAGAGGCCCCTGCTTTCCTCCTTCAGGGAAGGAGAGACGCCATCAGATGGAGCCAGTGCTCGCTGACCTTCCAGGCAGGCACACCCAGAAAAACCCCTTCCTTGGGGCTCCTTGGCTGAGAGCCTGGATCTGAGGAACCAAACGTGTGACTGGCCGAGCTGTGCCCACCCGGGTTTTCCTTCACTATGGGGGACGAGTTATGTCTATTTCACCTTGAACACCAAGAATGCATGAAGATATATTCTAAATCTGTTCATTGATTTCATTACAACTTTCCCTGGAGTCACTAGGAGGTAAAATGGTGTAATTTAGAAGTTTTTTTAAAACGTAGCGCTAGAATGCCAGGTGCATTATTGAAGCCACTCTTAATCTTAAGCAAATGTAGACTAGGCCTCCTGTAATTGGTTTATGTCACTGTGCACTGTCCCTTGGTTGTGCTGTGCTCCCGGGGACGCGTACGGCAGAGGCAGCGGACAGCCCTCTCCTGGCTTCAGAGCAGCACAGCGCTCACCGCTGCTTCCCTCACAGTGACAATGCGGGGTGACCCTAAACGCAGAATTTTTAAGAAAACCACATTCTCAAATAAGATCTACACAGGAAAAGATTGTGCTGCAGAAGATGAAGGTTAGCTTGTTCCCAGCCCCAGTCATATTTATTTTAAGGTAAAAGTTCCCATCCCATGGAGGTTCCTTATTGCTACAGTGGCATCTTTCGACTCTGCTCACTGGCCCCTAGTCCACACCGTCTTGTCTTCTCTAAGGCGATTCTGGCCGTGCGTCTGGTCTGGCCTGGCCTATTTAAATCTCTGAGCCAGCTCTTCCAGGAGTTCTCTTAGTTTCTCTTCAGCCAGTGAGGAGGATATTCTAACAAGAGGCAAGTGTGTGGGAACTGGTTTCTGATCTAAAAGCGAGAGGGACAAAGATGTGAGAACCGCAGAGCGTCCTCTGCCTGCCGCTACTCAGGCCGCAGGTCCGTCATTTCACCGACACCTATGGGGAGGCTGAGGAGGGACCCACACGGGAGTTGGGTACCATCTGTGTCCTCAAGGGTCCACACAGATGAGTATCGTGATGAGCTACAGAAGGGACACCTAGAGGGGAAGAACGGGAGTCAAGCTGAGAACTCAGACGTTCTCCAGTGGTGAGGGCAGGGTCTTCAGGCGTGGGTCTAGCTCAATGGGGCTTGGGGACGGGAGTGTGGCGTGTTTGGGAACAGGCAGGTGGTAGCCAGGGGAGGAGGTGTGACCATCCTAATCATTGCAGGGTCACCCGAGCTTCCTAATTCTCCAGCAATGGTGGTTATCCATAGTGAGGAAAGAACAAGAGAGAAGACCCTGGCTGCCACTCTCTTCTTAATGCCATCTCCTCCCGGCCTGCCGCCTCTCTCAGAGCTTGCCCCTCAGGATCCTGCCCGGGTAGAAAACAAAACCTTAACAGATAACTGCCTCCGGAAATAGAAATGCAGAATCACAGTTACTCGCTTCACACTGCTGCTTTGGAGGGCTCTGTTCCCCCAGGCTTGCTCAGCTTCCCAGAAGACCCTCCATCTCCCAGGTGGGAATCACCTCTATTCGGCGCCCACGGGGCCTGGCCTTGCCCAGGACTTTGATGACAGGAATCACAACCTGAGGCCTTCTGTCAAGGGACCCACTGAGTTCAGAAAGATAGATGGAAAAAAAGTGGGGGTGCAAAATCAGAGGCGAGGCACTTGACAAATTCACCCCAACAGGTGAAGGAACCATCTCGCCCTGACACCTGGGCACAGTTATGGGCTAGGGGAACAATCCCACCCCACCTTAAGTTTCATAAAGAGGAGGGCCCACCTCAAGAGGCCCCAGTCCTGTGGTTTAGGGAAGGAGGGTGCGGCCGCCTTCACAGACATGGAGAAACCAGCCACGGCACAGTATCCACACCCTGGGCCGCAGAGCTCCCCTGTTCTTGAGCACTGAGTGGAACCTGGGCATCGACAGCCTCACAGCTGCAAGAAGGAAGGGACAGGGACCCAGACAGTTTGATTAGGACAGCATTCTGGAATGCAGGGATGGGGGCGGGGGGGGGGGGGGTTGGCTGCTTTCTAATACCAATACCAACAGTGATAATAACAATGGGGTCATAAACTGCTCTCTTTCTTTTTCAAAACAGCTGTTACCCAAGCTGCTCAGATTCCAGAGGGCCTTGTCACAAAGCCCCTGCGGTGTCGCCCTGCAGCCTGGGTGGAAAGTGCTGCAAGTGTGTGGGGTCCTCTGTCCCCCAGGCTCTGGGCCACGGGGCACCCAGACCAGCCCATCACCCGAGAGCAAGGCCCCCTGGCCCCTTTCTATCCTAAGAACCAGGGTCTCTGCAGCGGGGCGTGGGCCGCAGTGAGGCCGGGAAGGGACTAAACGCTCAGCCCCCTGCCTCCTGGGTTGGCGATCTCAGATGATTCTAACCACTGAAGATCCTGGCTGGGGGTTTCCTGGACTGCTGTGGTGTTTCCTCTTTTTAGGGAGGAGTATAGTAAGAAGGGGAAGAACTTTACTTCCCTGCCAAGCTCCTCTGCCTCGCCCTCCCTCTGCACCCTGCACCCCAGGGCTCCATGGAGGTTCCTCCTCTGACGTCCCTCCCCAGGCCCTGGCCGCCTGCCCTCAGCCTGCCCCTCAGCGCAGGCGGCCCACAGCTGGCTACAGACTATATCGCCGTTGCCCACAGACCTCGGGGAACACAGTGTCTCTAAAGTGAGCACATTGGGAAACAAAATCGTTCTCTCGTAAAGCCGAGGAAAGAAAAGAAACCATTGAAAACATTTGAGAACCCTAAGGAGATGCCAGGATTTTAGAGATGGAAAGGATCATCTCATCAGAGGCCCTCAGTTTTTAAATTAAAAATAACTTTGTTTTTTATTTTACAGAAGCAATATTTGTTTATTGTGGAAAAATGAGGAACTACTGATGAGCAAAAAGAAGGAACGTGAAACATTCTGTCCTACCACTCAGAGAGGACAAGCGTCCTCACGCCCAGGCCCCTGTCCAGTCCTTGCTCTGTGACCTGTGGACGACAGACAGCAAACTGCACCTTGACCCAGATGTTAGATCGAGGCGGTGGGATTGCTAGCACAGATTCTGAAAGCATGCAAGTTGATGCTGGAGCTGTCAGGGTAATGTACTTGGGAGTAGAAGAGGCTGGGGGCTCTCCACCGCCTGATGGAGCTCACCCTGGTCAGCAGACCCAAGCATGTCTCCTGTTAGGAAATGAGAAGAATCAAGAAGCTAGCCTCTCCCAACACCCCCGGCCTGTGTCTCCTGGTGTGCTTGGCTGAGAACATCCCCTTTGCGTTTGCAACAGAAGATTGCCAGACTTCCTCACATCTGTGCGTCAGAGGCCTAGTCTGTGCCAAGTCTCCCAGCCAGGTCTCCGAGGGATGCCGCACGGCACCAACACACACCTCTTTCCGCGGGCGTGTGGGGGTAGCAAAAATTAGATTATACAGTGTGTACTGTTGGGAAACCTGATATCTCCATTTAATGATAGAGTGCAGACAATTTTCCTCTCCCATAGACATGTATCAACAGCAGGGTTTTCAGGTCTGAACAGATTTCTTTTGTCCGTGTAGGTGTTCCATAATTTATTAACTCACTCCCCTTTCACCAGTGCTGCCAGGAGCAAACCCATTGTCCATATCTTTCATAATGTCTTACGATGAATTCCAAGGATGTATGTACAGATGTTAAGGCTTCTAATGAACTGGCTTTCAGAAAGGTGACAGCAGTGCATGAGAGAGCCTGCCTCCCAAAATGCCGTGGCCAGGCCCAGCCTGTCTGTGCCTCAGTTTCCTCGTCTGTAAATGGGTGTGATAGTAGTGCCTGCCTTGTAGGGGCTGTGAGGACACACGAGTTAGGATCCGGACAGCACTGAGAGAAGCCCCTGGCACCTGGGGTGTACTGTGGGGTGTCTGCCATGGCTGCTGCTGTTTTTAGTTCCCTCCTTTGGGGAGGAGGAAGCCATAGGGAACCCAGGTGACCTGCCCGAGGTCATGGAGTTGGGATGGGCAGATCTGGAAGACAGCTCTGCCCTCCTTCCCTGCTGCTCCAACACACGGATAATTCCAGTTCTCTCCTCAGTGATTATTATTTACCTCTGTGCACTCATTATTTCCAGAAACCTGGGTAGCGGTGAGGTGGTCGGGGGCTGTCCCCAGCGGTCTCCTGCTGACCTCCCTGGGCCCCTGTCCTTTCCCCTCCCACCCGGGAGCGTGGTGTTCACCAGCTGTCCCCGTCCCGGGGCGCTGTGGCCAGGAGGCACCCCGTCCCTCGGCCATGCACATGGCAACCTGGAAACAAGAGCTCTGCCTGGGAGGAGAGGCAGCTCCCTCTCTAGTCCCTGCATCCCCTCTCGCATGGAGATGAAGCAATCCCTGAGTCCTCATTACTCTGGTTTTAGGTCATTCCTGGGGAGATGCAGTCCTGCGGCCACTCAGATATTTTTAGATGAAACATAAGCGGCATGGAAATTAAAGGCTGCGACCTACCAGGGGTGTCCACGCAGCCGGGCTGCATTCGTGAGGAGTGGACGGCCGGTGCCCTGTGGCCCAGCACGCTCAGGCCCCCACTCCCTCTGGACAGGGGGGAAGGCTGAACAAATGGGGGAGAAGGTGCCCCTTAGCGGGGAGGCGGGGGAGCCGGCTGAGGGCACCCAGGACGAGCCTGTCTGGGGCTTTGCCAGGTGCACAGACTTCACCCTTCATTTCACCTTCCTCTGAATCAGGTCTTTACCCGACCAGGTCCGACTAGAACCCCGTGCTGCGTCCTGCCCCCCACCCCATAGGAAGTGCAAACAAGCAGAGAGGGCAGAACGTGAGAACAGGAACAGCAAACTGCCCGCTGCCTGGGACTTCCCTACCCCTCCCCTCAGGAAATTAAACCCCTCTCGCCCAGATCTTCCTCTTTTACAATCACTTGTGCGACCCTCTTCTTTGCTACGCCCAAGCTCAGGCCCCCAGCGCAGGCCAGCACCATGAGGGTGTCCACTGAGATGTGAATTAACTCCTAGAGATGCTTAGAGAACACATGAGTTGCAAATTTAAAAAAAAAAATCATTAAATACTCTACTTAAACCTCAGCTATATTGAGGCTGCTGCCCAGTCCAGGGCAGTTTGTGAAGAACTCCATCTGGGCCTCATTTATGATGAGTGGGTGCTTTATTCCCATGTCCCCTGGGAAAATTATAAAGAACTATGGCTCTTTGAAATGTCCGGATTTTGAGTTAGGAGAAGTAATCTACCAGGATTTGGTCTGGGGGTGAGTGAAAAAAAGTGGGGCATACCCAGGGCGCACAGGGGTTAGGGGGAGAGGTGGGGAGAGTGCCGGACACGGCTACCTGCTGAGGCAACACCATCAACAGACAAAGCTGTGGGCGCCGGCAGCTTCATAGTGAGGGAGCCCAACCAGGGGGATTTCAGGGCAAGAACTGTCTGTGTGGAGTATACAGCAGGCTTTTAAAAATAGCTGTTAACAAGCTGAGATAACGGCAGAACAACTACACTTTCTGTTAAGATCAGGCATGAGAGCTGCCACCCTGTCCCTTGTCCTTTTATTTCTTCAGAACTGAAGGAGCCCGCCCTTCCAGGTGAGCCCAGCGAACCCAGAGTTGTTCCTGTGGCATCTGTCTAGCCAGTGAGTCAGCCGGGGGTCTGCCCAGAGGAGCGAGGAGTGGCGTCGCCCCCGTACTTCTATCTGAGCTGAGCAGGGCCCGGAGGCCTCTCTGGGCTCCTGTTTTGGTGATCACCGGCTCTCACCATTTTCTTGGTGGGCCTGAGAAACACCAAAAAGAAAGGTGGCCACTTCTGTGGCTTCTCGGAGGAGCACGCTAAAGGCCCACCGTGGTCTGAGCAGAGCCCTCCTCCACTCCTGATGGAGAGGGAAGATGTTCGCCAGGGAACATTTTCAGGTGCTGTGAATTACTAACATCCAGATTAATGTGTACCCCAGAATAAGCCTTCTTTGGATAAAAACCCACGTGGCACCTTAATAAAATGCAGTCTTGAGAAAACCACCTCACTTACTTGGTTTTGTGCAGAGACCACAGTTCCATTAAATGCTGTCCCTTCTCACTGTGGATCGTCGGTGCTCAATTCCTCCTGAGGAGAATGTTCCTGGCAGTAAACATAGTGGAAATTTATAAACACAAGTTCGTTAACCCTCGCAGTCCCCTTCTCTGTCAAGCAGTGTATTAGTTTTCTTGTTGCTATTGCAACAAATGTCCACAAACTTAGTGGCTCACAACACCACACGTGTTCTCCTACAGATCTCGAAGTCAGAAGTCTGAAGTGGGTCGTCTGGGACTAAAATCCAGGTGTCCGCAGAGCAGCATTCCTCCTGGAGGTGATAGGGAAGAACCCGTCCCTTGCCTTCTCCAGCTTCCAGAGGTCACCTGCACTCCTTGGTTTGTGGCTGTGCCCCCCCGACCTCTGCTTCCATCGTCACATCTCCTCTGACTCTGGCCCTCCTTCCTCCATTTTATAAGGAACCTTGTGACTACATCAGGCCCACCTGGATAATGCAGGCTACTCTCCCCATCTCAAGATCTGCAACTTCATCACTTCTGCAAAGTCCCTTTTTGCCACATAAAGGTGACATATTCACAAGTTCCAGGAATTAGGACATGGATGGCATAGGGCAGGGGGGTAATTATTCTGGCCACCACAGCAGAGACTATGACGCTTACATAAACTGGCTTCTTCCTGATTTCTCTGATTTGTGTCATTTTAGTCTATTAGGAGAGAACTGGCTCCATGAGCCCGTCCCCTCCCATTCGAGCAGCGTGTTCTCCAGGACATGCCCCCACCCACTCCTGCCCTGCATGACTCCCACAGCTGCCCTGCTTTTCAGAAGCCTCCCTTCCCCGAGGCTTTGCCAACTCTGGCATGACCAGCCTTCAGTGAGGGCTGGGATCCTTAAAACAGATCTTTGCACGGTTCTGCCTCCCTTTTCACAGGGCCTTCGTGGGCCATGCGTGGGCGGCAGCCACCCAGCCACGACAAGAGGCAGGAGTCGGGGAGGTGGAGGGGCCCCTAAGAGCAGGGGAGGCAGGATGGGGAGGGGCTTCCAGGAAGGCTCCGCGGCCAGAAGGAGCATGTGGGATCCCTGCCTGTGCGTCAGGAGCTCCTCAAGTGCATGTCATCAGGAACGAGCCCCAGGCTGACCCTCGTCTCGACCTGGACCCCTCCCAGCCTGCGTCAGATCCTCTCTACACCTAGCTGGATGCTGTGCAGGCTGGCGCACTGCTGCCAGGTTCTTAAACCAAGGCCCGTGGGACAGAATTTGGTTTTCCCTGTTGATGTGGACAGAATGGCCCCCTTAGGACAGTGGAAGCAGCATAGGTAGGACCACCAACTTCCCATCGGGAACAAAGTCATTTACTTACAAACATCCCAAAAGGTCAACCCACCACTTTGGGGTCGTGTCCTTTCTCCAATGCAGGGCTCAGGGCAGTCGTGAGAATGTGCCCACCTGAAGAGGCACAGAACCTCCGTGAGGGTGGGGGAGCTCCCTGGTGCTGCAGGACCCCTCGTGTCGGTGACCCTGAGGAGGGGTGGTGAGGTGGGACCCGGTTACCCGCACCCCCCGGATGAGGCAAGCGGCTACCTGAGCTGCAGTGTCCCTCCTCTCTGAGGCTTTTAGTCCACAGGCTGTGACTGGCTCTGTGTTGCCATTGCTTGCCCCGCTGTTCCTTCCTCCATCTCATCGGTTTTCCTCTCCCCAGGACTGGAACAAAGATGCCTCAGAACCTCATGCACTGACTGAGAGGAAAAGATGTCCACCCCACAGGGAGAGAAACTCAAACTGCAGAACAGCCTAGGAGCCCACTTTGTGGGGGAAAAAATGTATATATACACATATGTTCATTATGTCTAGTCCGTGCATAGAAAAATATGAACAGGAAATATGAAAGTTAGCAACACTGTTGTGTCCCAAGGGTGGGATTAAGTAAAACATTGGCTTCCTTTGCTCTGCATTTCTGTACTGTTTGAACTGGAGTCTTTTTACAATGAGCATATAATTTTATGATGATTTCTGCAACCATAAAACATATATGTATAATATTTTTAACAAAATGAGAAAAATGCTGTTGAAGTGCATTGGACATGGAAAGATATTCACAATATATGGAATGAGAAGTTACAAAACGACAGGAACAACACAATTCCATTCTGGTGAGGAAAGATGTGGCGAAACAGAGAAAATACCCGCAAGAATAAAATTTGGTGGCCTAAAGTGTTAAAAATGCTTATTTCTGAGTGGTACAATTATTATTGCCACGTTATTATGCCTATCTGTGTTTTTTGAAACAATGAACGTACAGTACCTTGTTTTAAGGGGAGGGGGGCGGTAAATTAAAACCCCTTACCACAACGTGAGGTGGGAAACAAGAGGTTGCCAGTGGCAGGCCCTGGGCTTTTTTCTGGACCACTCCTTGGACCTTCTGCTTGAACAACTCCACCCACCGCTCCGTGCCCGGCACCCAAGCTCACAGGAGCAGCCTGGCGTCACAGATGGGGCACTGGGGGGGGCGGGGGTCTGAATTTGAGCCCTGGCTCTGGCACCTACAGCAGTGTGACCTTGGGCCAGTGGACGTGGCAATTTCAGACTTAGTTTCTTTACTCGTGAAAGGGAGATAATAGCCTGCCAGCCCGCTCCCAGGATCAGAGGCTTTTGTGGTGAAATAAAAATGTGTGTGGGCTGGAAAGCTCTCTGTGCACGTTGCTTGTTGTCATTTTATTTCTGTATTATTATTATTATTATTCAGTAATTAGTAATAATAGTAATTCAGAGTTGTGACTTTCATCCCAGACGGCAATCTGTCTTTGGAGGGACATGTCTCTCCAGTTTGTCCGCTAACAATTTGCCTTGTTAGTATTTGTGGATGTTTAACAGCTGTTCCCTTCCATCCAGTGGCCTTGAACACTTTCTTTGTATTCACTGCTGGTGGCTTTCTCTGTGATTTCATTTGCAAGAAGTAGAAAGGAATCCTGCCAAAAGCTGTCTGCCCTATCAGCAGCCGAGACGGATTGTTACAGACGGCTCCTCTGAGTAAAGGAAATGAAGCCGGGCGCGGGCTCCACGCGGCAGGCCTGCAGCCCCCTCCTTGGAAAGGCTGCTGCTTCCCTCGGGGTCACCCGCCCCGGAGCCCAGGAAGGCTGAGGGCTCGGCTTGCTCGCCCTCTGGCCCGAGCTGTGGGGGGGCACCCTCTCTCCTCTCCCCGCAGATGGATGAGACCTGGGGTGAGCCTCTCCTCCCTACCCGGGGGATGGTTGTGTATTTTGTTTTCCACTTCAGCTTCTGTGAGAACACACCTGTATTGATTTAGATGTTAACAGACTCACCTGCAGGAGGATTAGCAGGGCCACTCACCCCTGCCGAATACGCTTCCCGAGGGCACAGCCAGGTGGTATGTGCTTTTTAAAAACTTCTGGAGAAAAAACACAGTTTTGGGCAACAAGCCTTCCAGGGCCTTTTCTATCATTTTAAAATCTCCCTCAACCCACGTCCACAAAATGGGCCCTTCCCCACCCTTCTCCCATTCCCGCCACCTCCTGAAGGAGCAGCTCCGAGACGTCACGTGCTTCTGTAGGCTTTTTGCCTCCTAGGCCACCAGCCGTATCATTCCAAAGAGCATACGTAACTCTTCACACGCAGCAAGCATTTCTCCTCCCTGAGAGGGAGATGAAGCATCTTTTTCAGGCCACAGGCGATTTATAATCCTCCAACCTCCCCGCTGGCTTTCTGAGGCCCTTGCCATGTCCCCTCAGTGTTATTCAGCCCAGCAAAGAGTAACACAATAAAAATCTGCTAAAAAATAACAAATATATAACTAATGTGTGTGTATATGTGTGTGTGTATATATACATTTTTTATTAAAAGAGTTGGAATCAAGAGGATCCCAAAGAGCTTCAGTGACTTACCCAACTTCCCAGCAAGTTCATACAAAGTGGAAAACAGATGGCAAATTTCCCTTTCTTGAGTCATTAAATCACACCAAGTCCCAGCCGACACTACTGCCAACGGAGCAGGAATGAATCCCATTGTTTGCAAGTCACTGTTCCCTTAGCAGGAACTTGGTTCCAGGAGCTCCTTGCCCAGCTCATACAGATCCCACCAGGGCCTGCTGTTAATGAGTGAGCCAGTGTCACTCTCCTACCCCCAAACCCTTCAACATTCCAGGTTCCCAACCGAATTAAGCAAGAAACTCCTTGGCCAGGTGTGGTAGACTTCTCTTGGAGATGTGCCAACACTGCTCCCCTTTGGGGTGGGCTCCTCACTCTGTTTATAACAACAACAAACACATAACTGAGCCGTTACCCTGGGCCAGGCACTGTGTTTGTCCCCCGTGGCCTTGAGCTCTCTCCCAAGAGTATGGAAATGGGACCCTGCAACTGAGGGCAGGTAGAGGGACAATTATTTTTGTCCCAATTATTTTTGCTTTGATTCAGCAGTGCCATATGTGGCCCATGTGCCCAGAAGAGCAGAGACAGTCTGTCTGCAGAGGGGGAGAGAGCGAAGCAGTTGTGATGAGCGTCTGCGAAGAACAGTCCCAGAGAGACAGAAGTTTACCCCAGTTCCTCACAGCAATCCTGTCCTGTTCCCGACCTGCCCACAGCCCAGCTGTGCGTCCCCACTGAGTTCTGTGAGGGCTGCCCTTGCATCTCACCAAGAAATTATTTTTGTCTAGTTGGCTTGAGTGGGTTCCTGTTACTTGTAGCCAGACAACCCCAAGACCCTCGGCTCATCTTAGCTACGCAGTCCCCCAGTTCTTCTGCGCTAATCAGCTCCTTTTAGAATGAGATTATCCCTGAGAAGGGACAGGCAGAGCGTCATTGGAAACGGCCGACAGGTCCTTGGGTCATTCATATTTTAGTGTGAGCCAGTTCGGTAACCTCCCTTCTTCCAAGACTGACCAGCTACCGTCAGGAACATTTAGGGGATTCAGAGTTTTGATAAGAAGAAAAAAAAGGAGAAGATATTTTAGAGTACGGGCTCCCAGGGGACGGCAGTCCTGGGTGAAGGGAAGGTACAGCTACTGGAAAATGTGCCGAAGGTTAGTCCTGCTCGCAGGAATCAGGAAAATCATTCATTATCATTATGACTCATTAGTGTTTTTAATTTACACAATGCCTTCCTTCCAAGGAACTCATTATGTCGATGGAGGTTCATTACGAGAAAGAGATTTGAGAGTGGAATTTATGTTGGACATAGTTTTCTAAATATGGCAACAAGGACCTTTATTACATGAGTACATGACTTGAAGCAAATCTCTCTATATAAGCTAATTAGGGAGGGATGTGAAACGGTGTCAAGCCTAGGTAAGGCTGAAGGAGAGATGGAGAGTACTCTTAAAGCATTACTAAAACCACGTTTCCACCCAAATATTAAATTCGCAGTGCTCCTGAAATCGTACGGTATCTGGGGAATGATATATTTTAATAGCATTAAAGTTAATTATTATTTGATGAGAAAAATACATTGCAATTTTTACTTTTCACATAAGAAAAACTGATAGAAGTTTCTATTAAGAAACCTTCAAAGCCAGCTTGAATTAAAGCCACTAGCCAGTGGGTATGTGCTCCCACCAAGTGTACTATCTGCTGGAGAAAATAATGTCCCTCCACCCCTGGGAAGTTACTGGTGTAGATTTTAAAGGTACAGACGAGCAGCCCTGGTGAATACTATGTGGTACTTCTCCATGTGTACAGTGGTCAGGGTGCATCAGATCTTGCCCTTTGTGCTCAACCTCAACTCATCCTCCTTTATCCAGCTCCAGTCACTCAGCAAGTATTTATCAAGGGCCTGCTAAACATCAGCCCCGGTGCTAAGCACTAGGGAGACTGTGAGGGCTCCCTGCCCTCATGGTATTTCCCAGGCATTAATAAGCATTAAGCAGATTATTATGCAATTAACTTACACTCACGGTTCAGGTAACTGCTATGATGGAAGAGTGTAGACTGTTATGAGTACATGGGGGTGGGTGGGGATGGCGTCAGGGCTGCATTAGCAATGAGGTGACATCGGAGCTAAGATTTAGAGGAGAGGCAGGAATAAGCTGGCAGAGCATTGGGAGAGGGCTGGGGATGGAAAGGAGATTGTTCCAGGCATGCAGCACAGCCTGTGCAAAGAGCCCTGGGGTTGGAGGGCTCAACCAAGGGTGGCTGAAGCTGAGTGAGCGAGCTGGAGAGTAGGGCAAGCTGAGGCTGGAGCCTCGAAGGCCAATGCCAATGATACTGAGCTTTTATGACACCAAGATGTGATCTGAAACAGAATGAAACAGATGTGTAATTTTTAAGGATCACTCTGTCAGCTTTAGGGAGGAAGCCAACGATGTGGGGGTGGGGCACGAGTGGGCACCAAGAGCCTAGCATTACCACACTATATTACAGTACCCGAGGCGGCTTGGGCAGAGTGGTACCATGGAGATGAAGAGAAGCAGACAAACCGGAGGCATGATATGGAGGCCG